TCTTAATCAGGATATTAATAAGGAACTAGCAGTTTATGAAGCTTTTGGAATAATCCACCAATTTTTTAAAATTAAACACTATCTAAAGATTTGCATCGAAGCGTTTTTTTTTGATAGTGATTTTAATCACTGTCAGATATCATTATACTTGATCCAACTATGCCACGTCACCACTGTGCCGCGACCCCCCTGTGCTGGGTTTTTTTTTTATTGGACCATTTACCTTAATACAGAAGGGTACAAAACTTAAAAATACATATAGAAACAAGAACATTTTTAACTTGATTTTTGAATGTGTTCCTGAAATACTGACACTTTTATAAATGTATTAAATTAAAGCCTATGTAATATACTATAATATGAAAGAGAAAAATTTCAGACTTTAGTTTGTTTTCATGGTGAAAACTCTAACATCAAACTTAATAAGAAAATATGACTTTTGTAAAATAATTATTTTTAATCCACAAATTTTTTAAATTAAAAACTATCTACAGATTTGCATCGAAACGTTTTTTATGATAATGATTTTAATTACTGTTAGATATCTTTATAATCAACCTATATATGCCACGTCCCCACTATGCCGCGACTGTGCTTGGTTTATTCTATTAACTTAAATGTCCATTTTCATCATAAAAACAAAATAAAGTCCGTAATATTTTTTTCCACAATAAAATATATTACATATTCTTAAATTTAAGATATATACAAAAGTGTCAGGGTTTCCGGAACCCTTTCGAAAGTTAAGTTGAAAAAAATATGTTGAATCCCCTTTGTGGGCTGGTAAAGGGACAGATTTATAAAAAAAATATACTAAATGATAGGTGAAGACATCATACATCTATAAAAAAATATTTATATTAATTTGGTCGTTTTTCATAAAGTTATGGTAGTTTTAAGTAAGAAAAATTTCAAAAATTAATGATTTTTAATTTTGTAATTTTTTTAGAGATTTCCCTAATTTTCGGATAACGAGGGAATTTTTTTACATTTTTGAGAGTAATGTCTTCGCCTAGATACGATTTTTGACGTATCGTTGAAAGAAATCGGTTCGGTGAGTGCTGAGAAAAAGTGGTAACAGACACAAAAAAAAACACATAGTAACATTAATACCTTCTCAGCTTTGCATAGAAGCTAAAAAAGTCATTTTATAGAATAAATTATGAGAAATAATTTGATATCAAAATTGCTACAACATTTTTAAATACCTTTACTATTTGTAAAAATTTGAATTTTTGTGTGTTAATTTACGATATCAAACGTCGGTCTTTGTCGAGAAGAAAGAATAAAAGAGAATGCAAATTTTTCATGCTAAATATTGGTTTAAGGTATTGAATTTTATTAATGAAAATTATTACTGCTTCAACGATTGCCTACAATTGATGTTAAAACGAATAGTAATATAATCTATGCAATCAAGTGTTATTTATAATTTATTCATCACACGAATCATAATAATAATTATTAGAACAATAATGTCAAATGTTTTATTTAAGAATGATATTTTGTAATGAAAATACGTATAATTTGTCAAATAAAGTGAAATAGTCATACTCTTCAAAACGAAACTTCTTTAAAGACTTATCATATCACTCTATTAATACAACGTGAGTTTTATAAATATCTATACTATACATTTATAAAATGTTTTTAAATATTTTTTCTATTATAAAAAAAAATATTTTTTTCATTAATATTAAGATAAGTATTTACAACATTATTATAGCCCAAAATTATAACTATTATAAAAAAAAATATTTTGCAAAATATTAACTACATCAAAAATTTAGGAAAGGTCAAAGCATACTGAATCATCCAGTATACAATGTGTACATTATATACTGGATTATATTCACACATTATATTATGTGTGACATGTTTAAAGATGTCATATGATGTTAACATGACCTATTAAAGACACAGTATAATACTTACGTAGTTGGGGCCATATATCAGTCATACTTGAGTTCCATAGAGTCATGTCAAATTCGTTTTCATTTGCAGGAAAAATGACTGATTCGTGTAGACTGTTGTGAGTGGTCACTTTTTCATCATCTGAAGTTTGTAAAGGTAAAAATGAACAACAATGGTAAGCATAAGATAAAACTAGAGTTTGAATCCTTGGAAAATATTCAGGCGAAGGAAATTGTCTCAAATTTGGATTGTTGAATGTTTTTAGATGCAATAATCTTTCTAAACCTTTGGTCGGTAATTGCTCAAATATATTTTTACCAACATTCCTGTTTCAATTAAATAAAAATTATAAATGGACTGTTTTTTTTTTTTTTTTTTTGAATACAACTTTTTAATTTTAAATAATTTACTATCCACTTACAAGTCTTCTAGTTGAGAGAATGCTAGAAAAGCCTCGTCGTCAATGTGACTAATTTTATTTGACTCTAAATCCCTAAAAAAAATACATGTTTTTTAATAATGATACTTTAACGCTATCTATTATTACATCCAACTATGTTAAACAGATTGATAGATAACACGTGGAGTAATCTATCGGCTTCTATAAACAACTTACAAAACTTTTAGCTGCAGTAAACCATAGAATGCGTCCCGTGGAACAGATGTAATATAATTATAACTGAGCAATAAATCATGAAGACGCGATAGATTTCGAAACAGTGATCCTTCGAGTGAGCTAATGTGGTTATTTGCCAAATCTCTGAAGAAAAGAAATAGTTTTATTTTATATAAAATCTAAAAATAGAAGATTTTTGCACATTATAAAATGAAAAAAGATAAAATTGATATTGGTTATATTCGTAATAATGTTTTTTCTATTAAAACAATTAAACATTTTTACTACTTTAGATGTTTTTTTTTAATATATCTGCAGTATTTATCAACTTAAGTATAATAAACAGAATAGAATACTTACAAAAGTCTTAGATTTTTGCATTTATTTAAGTTTGGGATTCTGGATAACTTATTCCATTTAATATCACTAATTTAAAGAAGTTAGATATTATATTATCGTATGTCTCTTTTATATGATACTATACAAACTTACAGGCTCTTGATTTCTGGGGAAGTTATGCATAAAGAATCAGGTATCGAATAAATGCTAGCTCTGTCGATCCTTAAAAATTCTAAAGCTGACGTCCCATTTAAATTTGGAAATTCTGTTAGTTCACGGGCTTCAGACAAAACTCTGTTAAAAAAACGAAATAATTTTCATAAGACCTATTATTAGTTAACAAAATTCTTACAGTTTTCTTAATTTTGGCAGTGATGCGAAAGCATAAGGGTGTACGCCAATTAACGGATTGCCCTTGAGTTCTAATAATGTTAGCCCTTGAGACCTTTGAAGTATACCATCAGGTATGTATTTGATATTGTTTCCAGATAAAGAACTATAAAAAATATAACAAATAATATTATATTCTATAAAAATAAAGAAAAAAATATTTAATTCATTCCATTTTTAAAATTTTAAAGTAATTTCATTAATAATTAATGAAATTACTTTAAAAATATTTTTCAAATATTTTTTCAAATATCCAATGAAATGTTATACAAAAGTTATTTTAACACTGTCAGATATCAATAAATACTAAAAAAAAAATATTTAAACTACACTACTCTGTGTCTATTTAAAATGTATAGTCTTAATAATTAAGACACAGAGTAGTGTAGTTTAAATATTTTTTTTTTAGTATTTATTGATATCTGACAGTGTTAAAATAACTTTTGTATAATATTTCATTGGATATTTGAAAAAATATTTGAAAAATATTTTTAAAGTAATTTCATTAATTATTAATGAAATNACTATTATATTTACTAAAAATTACATTGATATATTAATTTTAGAGGTTGACAAATCATAAAAAGCAAGTCACCAGAACGTTATTCTTCTTTTTAATCATACATTACATTAAATAATCTTTAATTTTAAATACTTCATAATATTGCCAGTATTCCGTTATTATGCAAACATTTACAAAATCAACCATTTGTACCAAAATTTATGATTCTCTGCTTCATTGGCCAATAAATCGAATAAATTAAGTTGTCTTTATTTATATTAACCCTTCATTAGGTAGGTCGGGTCTATCAGACCTAAATCTTTTCTTTTTTTGTTTCGTAATTGTTAAAATATATTTCTAAGTATGTCTATGTAGTTGTTATTCACATTTGAAGAAATAAAGTTTTACCATACAAGAGTAAAATCGATTTAATTATATGGGTCTATCAGACCCATGGTATCTATTAACATAACATTTTTTCACCTACCTAATGAAGGGTTAAAGTAAATCGTATTAGCTATAATAAAATTTAGGTTTATAAAAAGTCAGGTTTTTTTGGATCATTATCAAAAATTGAAAATTATACTTTCTAGTTTAATGTCTTTTTGAATTGATCAAGTCAACAAAAAAAATGATACCTATTAGTCTTTAAAGCATTTAGGTTTATTAAAATGTACTTATATTAATGTCACATGTAACTATTGAAATTAAACTTTTTTTCTTCCCATATTCATTTATACGTTTCTTCTATCTTACAAAACACTGTATTAAGCTGAATTATATCAAAACTTATTTATATTAAACAAATTTCTTTGTGACTTTTTTAGTACAACAATTCAATTTGCGTTTCATTCAAGCCTAACATTTTTTTCCATCTTTGTATACCAAATGTCGTAAAATACGCACGAATTTAATAGCAACGTAATCAAAACGTGCTTGGTTTGTAAAACAATCTGTAATAAAGTTTTATAAAGGTGTCACATTTTATAAAAAAAAAAGGAAGATAATGTATCTCAATATTCAAATATTAAAAAAAAAAAATCAACATTTATCATTAATATTATATGGCTATATATCTACTTAAAGAAAATTATAGAAAATTATTAGTTCTTACTTATTAGACACCCGTTAAATAAGTAGAAGCACTAATAAAAATACTTTAAACCAATAACAATGTTTGAATATATTTTTGTACATAACAAGTTTCTTTAAATATTTAAAATTTTATATATTTACAGTTATTTAGTCACAGAGAGAAGTTTACTTTGCGTGTCACCTATCATTATTGTGTTAAACCCCTACATGTTTTTGAAATTGTCAAGGTCTATAATACGTATAAAGCAACATTTAGTATGTGTATTCCATTAAAAATTATAAATGTACATTAATAATTAGGCCGACATTAAATTAATAATATAGTTTAGCTCATAAATTCTCAGAATATAAATTAAACTCGTTATAGTTATTATATTTAAACAAAATTTTAAATAATGAGAATAAGTTAAAGAGAATTAAATTAGACTTAAGTAAATTTTTAATAAAATATTACATTTGACTAATTATTGTTTTGTTATTTTGATTACTAAATAAAAACTGCGAATAATATTTAAATATATAGTAGTATAGTTGAAAATAATGATATTGTTTCATTAAATTATGATTGAACATTTATTTTTTGCATTAGTTCTATATATATATATCCATTTATCTGCTGTAAAATAATTTTTAGGTCCATTAAAGGAATGGACATCCTTATAAGATAAAAGGTTTCTTATAAGGATGACTCAAATTAATTTTTTTAAACAACAACGACCATATGAATCTACCTTACAAATGATCTAATTAAAAAACGACTAGTGGGATAATAACTTTTGGACCAATGCTTTAGAAGATATTCACATTTTTATACCTCGAAGGGAGAAGGAATGCCGAAAAATAACTTAATTTAAAAATAGTAGCATCGCGCTTCATTTTCAGTCAAAATTTTAAAATGGTTATAGTTTTCGAAATAAACAGTCAAAAATTATTAACGATCAGACATTTTTTATTATATAAGTTAGTTAATATGTTGCCATTAAAAAAAAATAAAGCTTACACCCCAATAAGATATAAGATACACGGTAGACCTAAAAAATATTTTATAACTAATAAAATGAGATACATATGTAAGAAACATAATGCTAAAAAAAAAAAGATTTAAAAATGTATTACTGTAATAGAAGTTAAGTGGCTAGCGTTAAAATAATCACTCTGTATATATATACTTATAGTAAATCCAAGAGGTTCTTCAGTTAATCTCATGATTAATTTATAAATCAATAAAATGAAAAATATAATATAGGATAAATTGTTAGAAAGTAATTTTTTATACACTATTATATTAAATTTTGTACGATTGAACTTGAATTACACAACAGTTCTTAAATTGTATCGAGACAATCATAAAAATGATATATTAATGGATAGTTGATTTATTACCAAAAATGCCTTAAAGTTATTCATTTTGAAAATACATAAATCGATAGAATGGTAACTGATGTGTCTTAAATAAACTATACAGTTTATTTGTTATGATCAAAATACATAATTAGTTAAACATTTATTTTAATTAATAATCGACTTAATGTTAATATTATACAATTCCATAACAGTAAAATTATTTCGTTTTAGATTAATAATTTAAATCATAAATTTGTGTGTATTATGATATGATAATTATTTTAAAATATCTGATGTCATTTTATGTCACCTAAAATCAAATTAAATATTTTTTAAGAAATATAGTGTAATTTTTAAACGAAAGTACAGTGTAAAGTGAGTAAAATTATAACACCAAAGTACTTTTTTTTGTTGTTTTTAAATACGATTATAATACATATAATAATAATCCTAGTGGTATCATTCTTTAATTAAATTCTTTACGTTAATAATTGTATTTTTAACCGGGAATAACTGAAAGTTGATTAATGTTAAGTATGTTACGAATCACGATGAACTTAAAAATTATGTAGTTGTAAATAAACAACGATGATGTTGATTATATCATGAATGCTATTTTTCAAATGCTCGCAAAAGGTTTTAAAAGAATTCATGAAATAAAGAAAGATTTCCTATAAAAAATTGTCTTGGGGTAAATTTTTGCGCTTTGATTAATACAAGTTTCAGATTTTTCATTTTTGACAAATAAATTCGCTGCACTATTTACTTTAATTTAATATGCGAATTCTGCAATGACACGTTCTAACAAAATTAAAAACGTCCAGACGGTGTCACATAAAATGCACTTACAAGAAATAATACAATAATTTATTGTAAAAGTAACTGAAAAATATAGTTATACCATCGCTTTGTATATTTTTTAATTTTGAGCTTCGTTAATCATTGTCTGTCTTCTTAATAGTAAATTTCATGTATATCTAGTAAATGCGTGGGAATCATAATGAAAAGAGACAGCCAGACGAACGAATTACGACACAGAAAAATTATGTTAATGGGTTATAGAAAAAAAAAATATGTTCAGTAATCTTTCAGTAAATGACACTAGTTAATTTCAATTGAATTAGTGTATACTAGAGAGAAGTTTCGATGGTTTCTTGTTCCATTCTGCACTAGGAATTTAACAGAATTTGATACTGATAGGATCAAGTTTTAAGTCTATCAGCAATTAGTGTATTTACTATACTATACCACTTACAAATAATAATTATACTACAGAAATAAGTAGTATTATGATTATATTATAGACTTACAGTTCCTGTAGAGATGTCAACTTGATGAGTGCTGTCGGGACAGTATCCAACTGATTATCGTCAAGTTCGCTGAAAAAACAAATATAATAAATTGGGTATAAAAATACTTCTAAACACGCTAAGGTGAAAAAAAAAGTACATATTATACTGCTAAAAGCGTTAAACCAAAAAATTAACAAAAAACATATGATATGTTTTTACTAACATCAAATTATATAATTGAGATTAGTAATTAATTAAAAACACATAAGTATTTTAAATAACCCATTTTATTTTTACTTAAATAGAGTTATAACTTTTTCATCTAAATATCTTTAATATTTTATACACATTGAAATAATTTAAGAAGTATAATTTAGTTATACGAATTGAAATATTAAATATGTTCGAGTACAGTAGGGTCGTATAACCCTATTGAAAACACACATATAAAAGATGTAGAAAACACAAAGACAAATAGAGTTAGAATGTTTCGAGAAATATAATATTCTTTAAATATACATTAAATTTAAATAAATAAAAGTCTTTAAAAATACTTTTTAATTATATAAATGGCCAATCAAGCGTGTTTTAAGATATTATATTTAAAAAAAATTAAACTAATAAAGTAAATGATATACTACGTGTATAGTTTTCAATAAAACCTATATTTTACTATATATATATACTGATCATTCTGTGTGTATATATATAATAAAATTATATAATTGTCTTATTGAGCATACTACCCCGCCAATTTATTTCTGTAGGTATTTTAGGGATAACTTCTTGAGATATTAGAATTTAAAAATTAAGAAAACATAAGGTGCAAGGTAGTGTTTAGCAACACTTTATTTTGCCGTAACGCACAGATAAGATTTCCTCTAAGTAGCGCATGCCGTTCACTTACAACTAAAAATTAATAATTTAAAAAGTAATAACACAATACTGGTTATCGGCTATTTTAAATTTTATTTAGATCATTCTCCATTTAAATTATAAAAAAAAATAGTTGGGTCCCATTTAAATTTTAAGAGTTACCATTAAAATCTACCCTTAAGAATAAACTGGTGGGTTGAAATTTTTACTTACAATAAACTTTAATTTTACAATAATCTAAAAATAAATAAATAAAATTTTAATCTATATATTTGTATGAAAAGTTATTATTGAACGAAAAATGTTTGTAGTGTGCTTATAAAGTCTGTGTATAATTACAGGATATATTAAGTATATTATATATTTGTAAATATATATACATTTTTTTATTATAAGTTAACCTTTGGTAAAAATATATAGTTTAAAAATAGACANGATATATTAAGTATATTATATATTTGTAAATATATATACATTTTTTTATTATAAGTTAACCTTTGGTAAAAATATATAGTTTAAAAATAGACAAATTATAGCTACACAATAAATTTTTGAGCAACTTGATAGTTACAAATGTAATCTCAATTCATTAATTTTACTGAAGAACGCTAAAGGTCTTTAACCCTGATGTGTGGCACAGATATAAATGTGTCAAACCTTCATTTATCATTAGACTGAAGGTTTATTAAACGAGTATAGGACACACATATGTAAAACTATTAACTTCTTAGAAGTAAATTTTCTGTAATTCAACATATTTTTCTTTCTATTCCAAATATTATTATGAGTTTTCAAGAAGTAATATTAGTGCTGTTTTCGAGAATTTTAAACAAAATAATAGAGAGCATACTTAAATATATGTTGAAAATATTTTTAATATATTATAAATTATAACTTTCTAAGGAAATAACTTGCATAACTATAAATTTAAATGATTATTCATTATGTCATGGAAGTTTATTTAGAAAAGTTCTACAAAACTTTTATTCACTATTACACATCCAACATGTATTTATTGTTGTAATACGTACTGACATTACTTTTAAATATTCTAAAATATTAGTATATAAATTATAAGAAGACTACAATGTCACAAAAATTGTATTATGTACCAACTGATATCATAAAAATGCTTTGTCATTTAAATATATATATTTTCATGTAATAATTATTTAAGTCATAATTACCGTGTAATAAAATTATAGTAATAAAATAGTCTCAAAGGGCAGTTCGGCCTTCGAGATTTCTATGAAATAAGAGATGGTAACTATCATCTCTATATTAAATAAAAAGGCTAAGGTAGCAGCTTTTTTTAGTGTATCAGCACAGTAGTGAAGTAGTTACTGAGTAGAGTAGAATAGCGCAAAACAGTATGGAACATAGTAATTGAGTTAGCTAGTCAGTTAACTATTTAGCATTGCACGGTGGAAATTGAATAAAAAACAATCTCGACTGCCAGACGCAACGTGACATTTGTGATACTTATATCGATGTTCAAATTATTTCTTCCTAACTGTAATTTATCTTAAGAATAAAGATTATTTATCTGAAATAAAAACTACAAAGAAGTGAGTCAATTTTATTAATCCCTTGTTATTGATTTTAATTACAAGAAAAGTATTAATTGTTTTAAATAATAAAGTTTCATAAGTACTCGAAATGATTAATATAAATATATAAGTATATAATTTTATTGTATTGTAAGAATACTCGATATATACATATTTTAAAAGTCCTAGAAGCGAGACGATTATGCTTTTGCAGCACCACTCGCGGAAGAAGTTCCTGGAGAAAATCTGTGTTAATGCACATGCTACTCGGGGTTACTTAAAACACATGAAACCATATTAATACAATTGAACATACCAATCGAATAATCTCATGTCGTGAATTATTTTAATATCTTATCATTTTTAGACCTTCGTACCACGACACCATGAAATAATTAATTATATTTATTAATTCACTCGTACTCTACTACATTTATACACCCACAAAAGCCTTTTATTTTTACAGATTAACATCACAATAATAACAAACCTTTGGACAAACATTTCGTATTATTTCCTTCATGTTTTTTTCTATTATATTTTGAATCACTAAATAATGATTTCATACCAAATATGTTTAATTTGAATAGATATCAAAATGTAAAAGGTATTTTTATAATAAAAAATGATCCAATTCTAAATGTAAGGTTAAACTAAATTATTATTATTTAATCATCTATTGCATTTCGGAAAAGCCTTTTCTTGAAAAATGTACAATTGTGGATGACGCAATGAGCCAAAGCTTATGGCAATTTAAAACAACATTCAACTTCTTAAGCTTAAAAATCCTTACAATTTTTTATTATGAAATGAAACTGTATTTCCGGAAAACATATAAAGTAACTTAAGTAAAATACTTATACGGTTTAAGTTGAATTTCTCCAGAAATTCACATACAACTTGTACTTTGGTTAATTGTACTAGATTGTAGGTATTGTAATTACATATTACACAGTACGCATATATATATATATATATATACACACATACGTGAATGTGTATTGAAGACGAAAATAGAAATACTTAAGATAACATAAAACAAACATGACTCGCAGATGGAATTGATGATAATAGTTCCATTTATTTATCCATAAAATACTTTTATTTAGTAAGACTCTAAAATAAGCAACATTAAAAAGTGTATACTTACAGTATTCTTAACGACGTCAAGCTCTCAAATGCAGACTCGTCAATTGATCCTATTTGATTTCGTTTAAGTAGCCTAAAGTAGTATAAAAATTATAATCATCATATTTTATTACTGTTATTATAGACATATTATCTGTACTTACAGGATAATCAAGTTTGGTAACGAAGAAAACGAGTCATTTGATATATCTACAATGGAATTACTTCCCAAGTTTCTGAAACAAATAAAAATCATAGTCTACTACAAAAAAAAATAAATATAACAATTTATTTATTTATTTCTAAAAAATTACAAAGCTGTTTTGTTATTTTATAGTATTTTATATTGTTCACATTTTATAATTGAGTGTATTATCACGAAATATATAAATATATAAAACTTCGTTTATTTTTAAAAATCAGAAATATAAATCTAAAAATAATAAAAACATATTTAATGATTTCGGTAGAATACGGCTTCTTACTTGCAATGTAAATGACTTTTTAAAGTTCATTTTTTTTTTCAAATTCTTTGCGAGTTAATAATACACCAATATAAAGTGAATTTTGTGGAAAAACTAAAAAATATTGTGTTCTTTTTGAATAATTATAATTATTGATAAAAATTAGGACACGAGTTAGTAATTTAAGATTGTTGATGAAATATTTGTGAAAGTTTATTTTGAACAAGTTTGTTCTTTGCAAATTGTTCAAACACGATTAAGCATTAAAACCATTAAAAACAAGACGGGAGGAAGAAGGTAAACTCTTAAGACGTCAACGACACGTATCATTTGGTCTATCATATTGGATGTCCCCCAGAAAATAGCCAAAAAACACGAAATTTCTACAGCTAGGACAGAACACTCGAGTGTTGCACCACAACCATAAACTAAAGACGCGCTGTCATAGTCAACGTTATGGTTGTACATTTTGTGGGTCACATGAAAAGTGTAATGGTCTCCAAAGTAATGATAATAATTACTATGTGCCAAAAAATACAAAAGATTGACCCAACACAGAAATTCTCTCCAGTTGTGTTCTTTTCAACAAAGCTTTTTAATTTTTAATGACTTCCATGAACTAAGTTTACAAAAACAAAAAATAGCGTTCAAGCGAATTTACCCTGCTATAAACGTAACTAAAAAAAATAATTTACAAAGCACCCTAATTTATTTAAAAATGCATTGTCGTCAACGTTGGTTGGAGATCAACTATTATATTAAATACATAATATTATAATATTTCAAGAAAAATGTTAAATGAAATCATATTCTCCTAAATATTAAAAAAAATTATTTCATTTTAAAGATTTTATAGTAAAACATGAATACTACCGAAAATGTCGGCGAAATTTTACAACGCCTTCAATAAATACAATATGTTTTCAGCAATATAAGATAACATCTAAAAAAATTAATAGCCATTATATTAAAGATACTTGATGTAATTTATTTAAGATGATTAAAAAATAAAAAAATTAGCAATACACAAGAAGAAGCTAATTACATGATGATCATTGAACCTTTTTTTTTTTTTGAGACTAATTCCGTCTGGAGTTTGTTTCTTAAAGCTATAGTCGTATTATTTAGATACATTTTCCCTTCTTTTGAAGTAATCAAAAAAGGCATAAGCAACTTAAAAAAAAAGTAACAGTAAAAGTATTAAATATTAAAACAACGATAACAAAAAAATCCTAAGTAATAAAGTTTTCTCGTCACGCAGTGCAGACATTCAGCCTCTAAAGGGATTTTTATCGAGTCTCAAAACTGGCAACATGTGTACTAACAATAAAATCTTGATCATATATTTTTTTGTATTGTGTGAATCTTGCAAAAGTTATGTGAAAGTTATGACACTCAGAGCGAATACAAAATTATTTAATTTCATCATCAAATATAAATATTGACACTATACCGTATATTTTGCGATATGTTTAATGCATATAATACCTCGTCTCTTTCATCAGCCACCTTATTGTATCGCAAGGTCAACCTGATTAGAGTATCCTCGTTATCTAACAAGGGTGCAAAGTCTATCTACTGGAACGCGGTTGACCACCGACGCTCTCTTTGGTTTTCTAACGTCTTACGTGTGCTTAGACTATCCGCCGTCTTACTATTTCTCATATCAATAGGTATTTTTTATATTATCCAAATAATATAAAGTTATACATTTTTTTTTTAAATTTACTTTTGTTAGAGTCTCTAACCTGCTTTTCAGCGGTAAAAGCTCATTATTTGTTTTTATTTAAATATAGTTTTAACCAGGCCAAGACCGTTTTTAACCCGTGTTAAATTTTTTTTTTCCACTTTTGCATAACTCTATATTACCCCACTTAATAAACATTAAGAATTTTCCGTGTCAATATAATAATGGTCTATATACATTTTTTGAAATTAAATACATATAGGTTTTGCACACAATGAGAGTGTAATGAAAATTGCTTATTTTTAGTAACTAAATTAGAATTTTAAAACCACAAAAATAATCATTGCGTATCACTTCAAAGTTCATTACATGATGCAATTCAAAAATTTTAAACGTGTTTAATTAATACACAAGTGCGTATTCAGTTCAAGACATTTATAAAATAGCCTAACTTATATCAATCGAAAAGTACACTTAGAAAATGTGTACAATTAATAAACGGCTAGATTGACAGAAATAACTAGTAAACAGAGGTAATAGTAAAATAGTATTCCGGAAATTCTATTGATAAAATCGTAAGGTTTTTTTCAATGAACATTTGGCAGCTGTGACAGTTTTTAAACATTCAGAGTGGCTCCGAAACTAATTCCGGCCTGAGAAAAAAGAAGTTTTTGTGGTTTTAAGCGTAAATCCCGTTTAGATAAAAAAAATATATAAATAAAAACATCATGTCGAAACTTTTACCCGCAGTTCTATATCATTCACTCTTATCAGCATTTTTAGCGATCATAGTAAGCGTTAAGTTAAAAAAACTTAATTTATTCATTTCTGATCAAAAAGTACTAAATTGAAGTTCAACGGGATTGTTCCGAGAATTCCATTAAAAATATCTGATAATCACATTCCCCAAAGAATTGTTTTAATGATAAAGTTTTACCTTCACATTTAGGAAACAAAAATCACTAATTTAACCGACAATAAGATTTAAATAGAAGATAACTTTCACACTACCTTAACATATTAAATTCATTATAAAAATCGGGTAGTTGGCCTAAAAGGCATTAATTTTCCAAAAAATCTATTGCTATTTATATTTAAAAAACAGCATACTGAGATCGCAGCATAATTAGGACATGTATAGATGATATTTGACAATGATTAACATCACTATCATTAAAAACGCATCCATTTCAATCTCTAATTAAATATATATATATATACAGCGTGTTCAATAAGTAAGGAAACAGGTCGTTATAAACTAGAGGATAATGACGTTTCATTGGTAAACCGTTAAAGATGGGACACGTAAGTAAAAATTCTGTGATTAAATTAACTATGGAAAACGCAGATGTTCTGAAACAATTTCAATAATTAAAAACTTAGGATTTTTTTTTTTTTAATTTTCTTTGGTGGTAAATTTCTTTTAGAAAAAAGGTCTTTGAGACATTTTTTTATGGTTAATTACGTATTCAGATCTTTAATTTGGTATAGGTCTAGGTCCAACTGGCGCTGAATTTTAAAATATAAGTCTAAATTTTAAATATTAAGATGATTTTTTTAATTTTCAAATGTGATAATCTTAACTATTTTAAAAATCTTCTGACGTATAAATCATCAAGATTAGCTTGGTGAGAACGGTAAAATTGTATAGATAGAAAAAAAAATTGCACATCTTGTAAGTCCATCATTATGAAGCCAAAATTAAATGAATAGAAAAAAGAACAATCGATTAAAAATTATTTAAATAGTCGGGTTGACCAAGAAAATATGTTTTAATATCTCTTGTCTCATAATGGTTCTTTCATTTGCATCTTTTTAAATTTATTTTTATTTTTTGGACAATAAAAGAGTTTTTTTATGTATTTTTTCCTTTATAGCTATTAAGTAGTGCAAGTCATATACATTATAATTTCAATAATATAAATACTTTGCGTTCTATATTATAATTTTTAAGGAAATTGAGGCTCGGATTTTTAATTCATTAAAAGTGGGTTTAATTAAAATTTAAAACTAAAATCCTAGAATTTATGAAAACTTTAAAACATCCGTAATTTTATGCCACTCTAAAAATTATTAGTTTATCAAACTTGATTTTTTCCTAAATTACACAATAACCTTTCATCCCTTCGCATAGTTGATAAGTTATTGAAGTACACTAATGTACTGTTACAGGCATTTCATTAATTATAGATACCAACACATATATGTATCATTATTGCATAGCTAAAACTCCTTTTATAAGTAATATTTAATGTGGTTTTTATATAAAAATACTAAATATAATTTTAATTAATGGTTAGATAAGTTTTTATTTAAAAAACTTTTGTTGTGTTATAATAATTTCAATCCATGTATATTACTATTTTTGTTATGATCGTGCATAAAGTTGAATAAATACAAAGATAAAACCAAATATAATAGTTAACATTACAACTTTTTGTAAGTTTACAGTTATGGTAATTAAAATTTCATAAATAAAACTTACATTGCTTCTAATGTAGGGACTAGGCTTAATGTTTGTTTAGGAACTTTGGTGAGTTTATTGTTTTCCAACCAGAGATTCTTCAACTGGGATAACTGATCAAAACATCGACCATCAATTTCTGTGAATTGATTTTGATCTAATTGCCTAAAGTATTAAAAGTATTCAAATATTAATAACAAATATTTTCAAATAATTATTTTGTCCCTGAGAATTTTTTTTTTTTTGACTGATTAAACATAAAGTTTCTTTGTGTGCCATAAAATTTGGTTATTTGTATATAAAGATATTTCAAAGAAGGAGTTTCTTTATATTGAAAATTATTCAAGTGAAGACTGACAAGTGTTTTCAAAAAATTAATGTGATAAAGATAAGAAGAATGTATTATAATGTGGTACTTTGGATAAGAAACTCCAAGATGTGATGTAAAATGGTACATACAAAATATTTATTATACTTACAGTGACGTCAGCTGCTTGAAATGTTGGAATGTGTCACATGGCGCCCGGACAAGTTGACATTTTTGTAACGACCTATAAAACAAATAAATAAATGAAAAGAACTATCCTTATATTATTTCTTTTACTATTGCTAAAATATCTATATAATATGAAAGAAAATAATAATATTTTGGTTGATGAATTAAGGTTGAGTGTTGTCAACTCAACACAACATTGTCTATGTATTATACTTTATAGAGAAATAGTTAAGCCCGTTAAATTTTGTTCTGAATACTGATGAAGGTGAAAATAATAGTAAAAAGTTTTGGAGTGAATCCAAGGGTTGAATAGTAATTGCCCATGGAATCTCGCAAAGAAATGTTTTTTAATCGAATGAATGAATGAAGGGCACGGATGAGTTCATTTCAATAAAAAAAGTGAATTGACAAAAAAAGTAAAATCAATGAACGATTTAGTGAAGTTAAATGGACTGTATAGTGCTTTCTAAAAATTATTGATTTTAAGAGACAATTTGTAATGCTAGGTTAAAGGTTTGGCGCTTCTCCATAAGTTTAACTGACTAACGTCGAAACCGAACACACCTAAACATATTTTATGTTTTTGAAATTCACTGAAATCCAACGATGAGTAAAGGACCTGTGCAAGATAATCTTTCTAGGCAACTATCTTTAAGTTGAATATTGTATCGATTTTTAATCGAAATTTGATTTTTATAATTTTTTATTGAAGAGGAATTTCATCAGATATTATTCTATATATATAATATACTTTAAATTATATTCTGCATTAAAGTTATTCAATAAAATAAAAAATTCAGATTTTTATCAAAATTTTAATTCTATAGAATTATTATTTACTTTATTAAAAAATAATAATTAATACTTACAGCCTTTTTAAGCGAACATTATTTAGAAAAGCTTTAGGATGTATCGTCTTAATGGGATTGTCAGCTATTACTCTGAAACACATTAAACAAAGAATACTATCAAAAATAAGGCATTTCATAATGTCATGAAATAGTATAATTCATTTTTTTAAATAAAATTTATTTATATAACGAATATAAAGGTAATAAGTTCTACTTGATGACATGTTACACTAAATCTAGCGTTTTTTTTATAAATTTCAAAGAACATAACATTCATAATAAAAAATTTCCCTTGGTTTTGATTATTTGAAATTAACCCCACAGGGACTTGAGTACAGTTAATTTAAATTTTATTAAATTTAAAATTATAATAATTAATAAATTATACTTATCTACTTTGAATTACATAAATCAAAAATGTTTCTGTATTTAAACTAAATTAAATGTTTTAAATTTCATGAACTAATATAATAATAATATAATATGAAACAATATCTTATATAAGTTACAACAATTTCATATTACTTTATTTATAATTATAATATTTGGACGATGCATAAGTCACTTTTAAGGTTTGTTTATATAATTTTATAGGAAATTTTACGTTCAATCGAATGGTTATAAAAACAAACCTAAAAAACGACTTGTGTCCATTCTATTGTAAATCGTCCATTTGTGTTCATGATCAACGCAACAATGAACATTAGAGAATTCTGTCTTAATACGAAGCCCCGAAAAATAAATTTGTTAATAAGATGTATGCAAAAGGTCCTGAATGTTATTATTTCTTCTTTTTTTTCCTCTCCTTTATTCCATCTACTTGGAATCGGCCACCCTTATCTTAAACTTCTACATTATCAAAGCGCACATCAGCAGTCCTCATATCGCATTCAATAACATCCCTCCATCTCTTTTTGGTTTTATCTACCTGTTATTCTCTTTACTGTTCTTACAGCTTCCGATTCTTGTCTTCTCATAACATGACCAATCATATGAGTCTATTTTCTCTCATCTTATTCACGTTAACGCTAATTCTTTAATCGCTCTAAAATCTTTGTTCCTTATCTTATCTTCTCTAGTCCTCCACTTATCGATCTAAGAATTCTCAACTCTGCCATACTCATTATCAACTCTATTCTATTGTCCAACGCTCAACACTCTGAATCATAAATCATAGCTGGTCTCATCACAGTCTAATAGAACTTACCATTTAGCCTCATTGAAATTTTCTTACCGTATAACACGCCAGATGCTTTTCTCCACTTCACCTAACCGCACTTAATACTGTGTCTTACATTTTCGTCAATACCACCGATCTTTTGCACAACTGACCCTTAAAACTTAAAACTATCTACCTCTTCTATAACGTCCTCGCTATTTTTATTGATCTCATCATTTCATATACCTCGTGTTTTCTTTTGTCAAGCTCATACTCTATATACTTTGTCTTACGTCGATTTTTAATCCCTTTCTTTTGTGAGCCGATCTCCACATCTCCATCTTTTGATTAATTTCCTCTCTATTTTTTCCTATTAACACTATATCGTCAGCAGACAACATGCACTACAGTACTTTTTTTGTACTTTTCTAGTAATTTCATCGATCATTACAGAAAATAACTAAGGGCTTAAAGCAGAACCTTGGTGCACTCCTATACTAACCCTGTTACACCGACCACACATTTTACCCTAGTACAAGTGCCATTATACACATATCGTCTATTATATTAATGTACCTCTTTTTCTCATTAATAACCACTTTAAAAACTCTCTCAATACTCTATCATACGCTTTCTCTAAATCCATAAATAACATACACAGTTTTTTCTTCTTTTCCCTATAATTTTCTTTTATTTGTCTTACGACAAAAACTGGCTCCATTATTGACTTTTCAGATAAAAAACCAAACTGGTTTCCACACTCTTGTATCTCTCCTTTGCCTTTATACATCGACACCACAATACTATTCTTCTATTTTGGAATTTTTCTTTCTAATAGGATTTTATTAAAAAGACACTTTAACCACCTTATGATAACACCATCTAATATTTTCTATATTTCTCCCGAACTTCATCTAGTTTTGTACGTTGTTGCATATAAATTGTGTTANCATAAATAACATACACAGTTTTTTCTTCTTTTCCCTATAATTTTCTTTTATTTATCTTACGACAAAAAACTGGCTCCATTATTGACTTTTCAGATAAAAAACCAAACTGGTTTCCACACTCTTGTATCTCTCCTTTGCCTTTATACATCGACACCACAATACTATTCTTCTATTTTGGAATTTTTCTTTCTAATAGGATTTTATTAAAAAGACACTTTAACCACCTTATGATAACACCATCTAATATTTTCTATATTTCTCCCGAACTTCATCTAGTTTTGTACGTTGTTGCATATAAATTGTGTTATTAGAATCTTATAAAACATAGAGTCATTTGAAAATTTGCACAGAAAGTCTTATAACGTTTAACTCTTTTATTATGAAATATAGTATTTCCAACTAACTAAATTAATTCTATTGTTTATATATTACAAAAAAGAGAAAAAGTAGGGAATAAAAATTAGGTACACGTACTTAATGAGAAATGAAAAGTATATTAATCTGCGATAATAAATTTTCAACATAAGGGGTAAAAATATTAAACAATAGTAGTTTTTCAATAAAATAAATATAATTTCAAAATAAATTATATCTCAATAATGATGATGAACTGATTACAATAGTTAATAATAAGTGGTTAATTGAAGTGGATGTATGGTTCTTAATCATGAGACTGATTTAACGTAAGTGTGGCAGCGTGTATTTTGTCAGATGAAAACAAACTAATGCAATTGGCGAAATTACATAAATTTCTTATAAAACACTCTGACCAACGATTAAAAAAAATATAGCCCAAATTTTAACCAATCGAAAGGTTATGAAGATATATAGAATGGTACTGTTTAACTGGTAATTAAAGGAAAAAAAGTATGACATAATAAATAAATAAAATGGAAATGTTAAGAAATATCCGTCATAGAAGGGACTGAGGGATTACCATTCTCAACCCAACAAGTTTTGTTAAAAATTTTAATAAAACAATATTATTTAAATACATTTTTCACTTAGTTTTTGAAAGTTTTGTATTAATTGTATTATTATTCGGGTCTTTTGACTATCTATTGTTTGCATTTTACTTTTTGTAAAAACTTTTGTTCGTTGTTTTGCAGCACTCAAAATTAATGGCGTATAAAANATAATAAACTATTTGGACAAACAATCGAGCTGGTCGTTTAAGATCACTAAATGTTGGTCTGAGGGATTACCATTCTCAACCCAACAAGTTTTGTTAAAAATTTTAATAAAACAATCTTATTTAAATACATTTTTCACTTAGTTTTTGAAAGTTTTGTATTAATTGTATTATTATTCGGGTCTTATGACTATCTATTGTTTGCATTTTACTTTTTGTAAAAACTTTTGTTCGTTGTTTTGCAGCACTCAAAATTAATGGCGTATAAAAAAACTCATTAAAATATTTTGTGTTACTTGCAAAATAGAATTAATTTACTTTTAATAAAAGATTACTTTTATTATGATTATTTGTATTAAAAATAAGAAGTTGAAGAAATGTTCATAACGAAACTGATCAATTTAAAGATTTACGAATTGATAAAACAACAATTTAAAATAATTACAAACATTAAAAAAATATCAAAATAAATAAATGTAACCTTGGATAGTTGTAGTGCAGTGGCTATTTTTATGTAATCATAATGTACTGAAGTACAGTAGTCCACAAAGTTAAACCTTGAATCTATTATTATATATATTTTTTTTAAGATTATTGATTATTTTAAATATTATTTTAAGTTGAGTGATTTAATAGTTAGTAGTCATATCGTTATAATTAAAATGATTGTAATGAAACAAATACGTGTATTTGAAAATTCACTTAAAGGTTAAGTATAAACTCCATTTGCCAAATTACATGAGATGTTTTTTGAACGACAATTTCATAAAGAGTATCGCATGAAAATGAATACTCATTAATGAAAAAATACAAATGATGGTATTATCTTACAAAATATATATAATATCCAGTGATGCTGATCTCTTCCTATTCACAAATAACGTGTTGTTCTTTAAATTTGATACTATTATGTAGAATCATGTTAAATAAGTAAAGAATACATTTTATTGTATACACAGTAGTTCTATTATAGTAAATTATGATGACAAATGGTATAACCAATAATTTTTTAGCTCACAGTCAAATATCCGTTGTATTTATAAGTAATTTTATCTATTCGTTTTTGTATTATTATTCGCAAGTATATTTTAACATAAATAACACTTTCTTTTGATATTTTGAAGAATAAGATAGACTATTCTATTTATGCATACATTTTTTATTTTATTTACTTTACGAGTATGTTTGAAATAATATATTTATAAGTTTGTAAATATTGATACTTCAAAAGAATTTACAACTTTTTATTTATATCTTTATTGTTAAAAAAACTTTAAGGGGAACTAATATCAATAGTTTGATACATAAAGAGATAGGTAAATTTAAATTATAATTGTCGACACAATCCTAAATAAAATGCATCTAAGTGTTCAAATTTTCTATATTTTTTTATTTACATAATGTATGCTAAATCCAAAAATTAAATTAGTTAATACAAAATAAATTTTATAGAATACGACTTATGTTCTATTAAATTAACCTATCACTCAAAAAAAAAAAGATTGATAAGGGTAAAGATAAATCTTCATGTTTATGTTCAATATTAACATTGTTCATATACAGTGTACAATGTCCATTGTACACATTTTGTCATTTCAATACCATTTTAAATATAAATCGTTTTGCGTCATCTTGTTAAATTATATTAACTAGAAAACCACTGTTATATTATTACACTCGTACATAAAATATGGAACAAAATTCATTTAAGTACTCTAGATTCTTCAACGTTTGGTCGGTCCAGCGCAGCTGCAAATACTATTCGACACGTATACCAAATGTTCTCTTGATAAACTACAAACTGTAATATTAACATGAGTTTTCAAATTTAGAAATTCTCTCAAAAGGAAAAACGGTCGTGAGAAGATAGAATGACGGTGTGACAAATTTTACGACGACAACGTGACCAGAAAAAATGGTCTATTGGAATCGCAACTTAAGTGATCGGCAATTTTTCTACATTATCACATACCATTTGTATTGGAAACGACTGGCTAGAGAAGTTTAATTGTGCTAAATTGAATGCTCTTTTTTCTCAACCACACAAGATTCTCTGGTAAATGACTTATATCAGAAACCAGGACGGTTCATTTGCTGACTAGAACACAGTTTTTGGGTAAAATATCGACTGTGTAGATTGTAGTAAGCAGTATGTAGTTTTCTTTTGTACGCATAATGTTACAGAGATAACTATGTTAGGCGCATGGTATGAAAAGATTTCTTATCTCCCATTTGAATATCGAAAACTTGAGATCAGATAAATTGTACCTTACCACAGATAGTAGATATATCTACTAACTGTAGTACCACAAGCACCCAAATGATAACAAAAAATTTTTAGGTACGCAAATATATACTCATTTTCCTTTTTGACATTATTAATGTACAAAATCACAACATTAGCTAAAAGATAAAATTCAATTGACATTATTTGTACCTATAAAAACGAATTATTAGAAAATAACTACTTTATTCGATACATAACGCGAATAACTTATAACGTATACGGAAACATCAGTGTTTCAAATAAACAATCTAAATACTAGTGTAACATGTTTGACGCAATGCAGTGATACCTATTAAAAATAATTTTTATAGTTTTTTATCAATATTTCAATTTAATTTAATGACCTCATGTTCACTAAAATAACATTTAAAACTATTTGTACCAATTAGTTAATACCAAAATTAACATTAATAAATAATACTCACAAGTCTTCTAAAAGAGTCAACTGCCCAAACACTTTTTCATTTATTTCGGTGATATTATTACTGGCTAAATCTCTAAAATAAAATAAAACATAGTATTAATAAAATTGATTACGTTATTTACTCTAAGTTTATTTTAGTTAATTGAAAAATATTTTGCAGAATTACGGTTTTGCAATGTTTACAAACTCGATCATAGATCAGAAGGGCTATCGTGCGTCTAATTGAAAATGGCAATAATTTAACAAAGTTTATTCGGAAGCACGAAAGCCATTAAAATTCTATTAAAAACGTTTCATCACGGAAATAAACTCAGTCACATTCAGCATTATAAATCTTTGGGAACGATAACACAATGATTTTTCAATACTTTAAAAATAATATAAAGATATGTGTATTTGTTATTTGAGCCCATTTTTCTTTTTCTTTTTTTAAACACCTCAAGATTTGTGAATTCTTTTTTTTTCCTAGTGATTTTAACGAGTATAACAAGTTTATAAAACTACACATTTCCACGTTTAATTGCAAATAAAGCAGTCGCGGCCTTTAATCAACAATTTTTAACATTGAAAGAAAAGGTTTCCACGCACTTTATGTGGTGTGCTATTTTTTATTCAGAAAACAAACCAGTGAATAATATTTACTGCGTTAAAATATTATGCAAACCATGAACATCACTGGAATTTACGTCAACAATGGATAGGGCTGTGCATATGACAACACAGTCATAAAACTGACGGAGTGCTATATAAAATGAAATAAAACGTTTTAACGCTGTCGAGCTCGATGAAAATGGTTATTGGGAAGTATCTGTGAATACACAATGGACTGTCAAAATACTTCCTGAGGGAATATGTCACGCGACGCTGAGTTGCAAAGAATAACGATGGGCGAATAAAATTTGTTGCCTGTAGTAACACAATCCGATGATCTGGTCGAAACACGAAAAAATTGAATACATTGTTCAGTGCATAGTTCAATAACCTTTCCATGGATTGAGAGTGAGATGGAAATCTAGACGTCGAGTCAACTAAGCTGGCAAGATGAATTATAGGGTGGGCGCTTAAAAAAACAGAAAGAAAAGGAGCTATTAATCATCCGAGAATAATCCGCGAGCAGCGTCAGTACTATAAAAACAACATGCTATCATTTTCTTTATTCCCTTCAAAACAATAAACAATATTCAACCGATTTGACTGTCAAATAAAATCAAAAAATAAATACTGAAAAAATTGAACTTTTTAATGTTTAACTACTTGGACCAGTTCAATGTAAAACTTTAAGTTTGCACACAGGAGAAAATAAGTAAAACCGTTGAGTAGATTTGGGTGCAAATAAGTTATTGTTGATACTAAAAACGTAGTGGATGGCAATTTTTCAGCTTAAGTACAAAACCTGGTTCAGTATGAGAGTTTTGGCTAACACGAGGTTTAATGTCTCTGTTTCGTTCGGTTCATGTCATTAACAACAAAAACAACAGACCCAGTAGTCCATTCTCCATTATTTGTAGCTATCAGCGTGTGAATGATTAACTACCGTCTATGGTGAGTGGAGGATAAAATACCAGGAAGCAGAAACAGAAAATGATTGTTATAATATATTATGAAGTGTTATAGATACTGGAGGAAATTACTGGTAAATTTGACAATAAATAGTTGAGTATAGACTTTTTGACAGTGACATTTTTTTTACAACTCGTATTTAACACTGAAGATAATCTCAATTTCCACGCAATATGAGTAAAAAGCTACAATATCATTAAGAAAAATTATGTTTTCCTACTCCAAGTCAAAACAATTCATAAAAAAATACATCAGCATGGATAACTATAAAATATTAAGAAGCGTTATTATATTTTATAATTCAACAAAACACATTCATACATATCAAATCATTAAAATAATGTCATTATGTCAAATTTTTAATTGAATAAAATAATTTAGCGAAATAATCAGTTGGCAGACGTTTTAAAAATTATCTTTGGCTTACAGACAACCACACACTTATCCAATTAAACATATATATATCACACGCCCATTTAATTGTGTGGTTTAAATCTGTTTGTATAAACGTTAATTCGAGGCCAGCTGTTTAATTTTAATAAGAATAGTGAATATATTAAGTTTAGAGACTTTAATCCTTATGAATTAATGTCAATATACATGAGTCGGCTTAAGAATAAGGATATATCAGCTCAACTGTTGTAATAAAATAGTGAAAAACGTGACTGTTTGTTTATGACCGTTCAATGAACTGATATTTTGGTATATAAATTAGATTGACACAGTTTTTAATTACACTTTCATAATACGAATGTAATTAAATTTAATAATTAATATATTAATAAGTGATGACCTTATTAACTGATCATTTTATTATAATACATTATTTTATTATACTATTTTAACGTATGATTAACATAAAATAAAATAAAAAATCATCATTTTAAAACCTGTAATTATTTTATTATGATTTACTATTAGTTGTGAAATTGTTAACGGTACGAGAAACTAAATTAAAAAAAATGTGCATTTTTATGAAAATATAGTAATTTAGAGCTCTTAATGGTTGGCTGTACTGTAATATTTCTTTGGTACTTCATTTTTACTGATAACGCCGACTGCGCATTTATTTTTATGCGTATCATATAAACGCATCGGTGTAATTATAATTAGTATTTACGATCGGGTACATGGAGGTCTTGTGATTTGTTTTAAGTATTCCACAAACAACCATATAACATTATTATCATTATCATAATCTCGTATCCAGTTTCTTTACCGCCGTCGCCACTCGACGACACCGTCATAAATCTGTTGTGTCGTATGCTCTCCTCCCCGAAAGCGTTAAATCCAATTAAGGGCGTTTTCCATTAAGATTGCCTCATTCTCATCCCCTGCAGCTCTCGGCCTTCCCGGCAGCTTTTCGTTCGCTTACTACGGATACTACTAGTTGTACAAAGACGAATGGTCGCGTCAACGGCGCAAACTGAAAAACCCCGTCGGTTTGCCGGGCACGGACTTTACGTAACGTGAGTAAGTGTCCATAGCCATTGGTGAAGTCGAGTAATGGGAAAAAATTGTATTTCTTTAACTTCGCACCATCTAACGTAACCACTAGTAACAATGACATCCCTTGTCATCAACAAAGTCACAAAGTTTGTTTATACAGTAAATCATCCGAAAGTAGCATTGGATTGGGGCTATAAAAGGAACAGTTTACACAGTATTTAATTTCCGGCCTGAACAAGTGACACTTTCTGTCTTATGTAAGATCTTACCAGCAAGACAAAAAATAAAGCTAGTAGATTAAGTTGTCTGGATCTCACTAAAACACAGCGGTATGTAATACAATCTGTTATCGAAAAGCTCATCGATCATACCCACATTCATTTGATATCATATAACTAGGGTGGTGTTCATTCGTTTTGTATACCGAAATTTAAGATTTTCACCTTTTCAAACGCTTTTTAGCCCTTATAGATTAAAAGGTTCACGATAGTTAAAAGTTAAAATGGTTAACCTCAATCCGATAGTTATCTAATTATCTTTGACTATTCAATTACTAAAAAAACTTACTTAATTCAACTATACAGAACCTTTAGATATATTTCAATGTTCTTTCATACAATTTTTATCACCCATTCATATAATAAAAAAAACATTTTTACTCAAAGTTTTACAATGAAAATATTTTCTCTGTATTTTACTTAAAACAATACATTCAAAAATCAACAATCAAAAGAAAAAAGTACTCTATGAGCTCTTCCTAATAATATTCACAGTATTTATTACGCCACAATAATTTTTGTCTTATTATTATTATAAAGCCTGATCTTTGATAAATAATTCAATAAAAAATACGTTTACAAAATCACATAAAAGCGGAAGCAGCCGTATTTATTAAATCAACCTTACTGTTCATAAAATTCCTGTCATTTTTTCATTAGATTATCCGTTTTTCTCTTGTCTTTTCTTATTCTCATTTTCTTTTGGTATTTAAGAAAAAATTACTCACCTTATAGATGAAAAATATAATAGAATATAATTTGTATTTCTGTATTACTCGCATAATATCGTTTATACATAAAGTATACATTTTAACAAGAACCTTTCCAAAGATAATACTAATAAAGATAAAACAAAATAATAACAATCATTAGTTTTACATTTTTTTACTTCCCGAACTTAACATAAATCCTCTGTGTGTCTCTCTTTCACTTGTTAGGGAGTCAAAAATGGATAATAAATGGGCCATAATTGGCTAAGCCATTGATGGACGAGACAGATACCAACAATGAGATAATAACAAGAAAAATCTCGTTGACACCTTGGGAATCGAATTCGGAACCCCGTGCGCCGAACACATACGTTTCTACCCACAAGGCCAGGACGACGACTTATAATATATAAAGATAAATTTTTAAAATATACAAAAATTAAAAGTTTTGTAAATTTCATGATACCCGTTAAAGTTTTTATTACTGGATACTTTTTTAACAAAGGAAAGTATGACACATACTGATATTTATGATATTATATATATTCAAATGCATTTGAAATAATTAAAATGTTTAGGTACTTTATGAATATTTCAAAACAAACTAATGCATTGATTTTCAGTTAAATAATTTATGATAACGATCAATATAGAAACAATAAATAACACTAACAAGTGCGAAAAATATTGCTGATATTAAAAAAATGAATTGAAATTGGAGACAAAATTATTCATTTGTTTTGTAAAAATTCAAAAATAATTTTGCATTTTATATTACTTCATATTTCCACCATTGTAATTAAGTTGTCTATACAGGGAGATTCATAAATGAATTGCCTTGTAGAATAATCTGCAACAACAGTATTTTTAATTTACACTCTATTATTTGTAATTGATTTCTATCAAATATTGTTATTATTAACTAAAAAAAACTGCCAACTATCCATCTATAAGACTTTTAAAAATCATTTTTTTAATTTTCATCATACAAAATGTTTAGTTTATTCTTATAATAAAGTCATATTTGATTTTTCAATTTAATTAATTTTGTATCTTTAAAATTAATTAAAGAAATG